GTTTGACCGAAGTCGCAACTGGTCAAATGTACTGTGTACCAGCCGATTAACTGGTGACGTGCATCGCTGAGATGAGGAGATCATCATGGCAACAGAAGAGATTTTCGTATTACATATTTTCGCCTTTTTGTTGATTCCTTTTAACTGAATCCACTTTATACTTGCTATACTTTTTTATCGATTTATCTCTCTTTTGGCGAATATCTTATCTATTGTTGACATTTTTCAAAACTTGTTTTTTGTCTAAATATAATCTAAGTTTTTTATTTCATCTGCTTCCTTCTTCGTTTTTCTATTGCTTAAAAACATTTTTTGTTTCCTTTTCTTCGAGAAACTTGTATTTTAATTCCCTGTTTTTTTTTCTGTCGACTACCACGTTGGCGCATGCAGCCCGAGGTGTAATCTCAGCGATTCAACGGTTGTCTATGAATCTTTTGGGTTCTTCCGTTTTTTCAACGGAACTAATTTCGATACACCGGATCTTAAAGCGGCATTCGTCTCAAGGGTGCATTTTCATCGTTGCAATCTCAGCCGTTCAAAAACCCTTTGAACAACAACAGCGCAAACATTTACTCGAACATTTCACTGGTGCCGACTTTTCACGAACGAACTAACTACAAATGTCTTTGTGTTCGATGCAACGTTTTTTTTCTCGCTCGTTCTTTATGTTTGTTTGTTTCTTGTTTCGTTTAAAACTATTATATTACCGGCTGGTTGCTCACTCCCAAAGGAAATTGCTGAAACTCTTTCATAGGCGTGTTCGTGTTTTCATGCGCGCTACATTTTTATTTATTACATTCGCTCCATTTACATGGGGTACGCAGTAAAGACGTTTTTTCTTTCTCAAAAATGGTTGGAGGCAACAGTGGACAACACAGCGATTATTAAATAGCATGTTTGCCAATTCAATGGATTCCACGTCTTCGTTGGGCCGAAAAATACTGCTTCAAATAAATTGTGTTTGGCCATTTCAATGGCTCAAGACCAAGACAATATTTCCTTTTGGATTTTCCATTTGAATGCATTCAGTCGGGAAAAAAGGCAGAAAATACGAGCAAATTAAAGAGAGCAAACTGCTTAAAAATAGTATCTTGATCTGAAATAAATATAAATTTTATGTATCTGCAGTTCGATGCACATTTTTTTATGCTGCGATTTGGCGTTCGGAATTTATCATTGTTTTGCAACAATTCCTACGTAAGAACTAAATCAAAGTCACATTCCATGTGAATTTTGCACTGTGGAATTTTGAGATAACATGACATTAAACATTTACAATTTAATAGCTTGAGTCTGTCGTTGCGCATATTTCTTGGGAATTTATACATTGTAAACACAGAAATGCGTTGCTGATTTGCTATGATGATACTATATGTTGCATGCCGTTAAATCAAAATTCTGCTTCAAATCAATATTATTGTTATTTTTGAAAAGTCGCTCAACTTGGCATGAATCAATATATTGATGAGATATATGAGCAAAAAACAGATGCGATTCATTTTTTTGCAGCTACATTTAATTCATTTTTCGATGCGGTCACCAGAGAGACAGAATGTAAATGCGAAAAAGAAATGACACAACTGAAATCAATGTACGATAGCAACCAGCAGCTTGCCGACATGAATAAGTAAAAAGACCAGTGTTGGTCACATGGTTTGTTATCAGTTTTTTCTGTATAATCGAGTAGTTTTTCAAGATGAGAAAGCTAAATTTAAAGTCTTTTTCAAATTTTTGAGTTTTTCATTACTTTTTTATGAAATTTTACCTTTTTACTCTTTTTCCGTTTCAAGTTTACTACTGTTTCATTTTACCACTTTCGTTCTTGCTCTCTCCCTCTGTACTATATGTGTGTATGTGTCTATGCTTTTATCTAATATCTGTCATATTTTTTGCTACTTCTCGTTTTACCTCCTTGTGAGTGTGTGTAATAGCTGATCGAACAAAAACCAAAACATGAATCCATCGATGTATCTCAGGCGAGGCGATTGCATTTTATGTAACGAAATAATAAATTTTGTAACTGACAACATCGACATGTACAAAAAAAAAATGGTAATAGCATGGACTCTTTCAGAATAGCTCTATCTTTCAAACCACTGAACACACACCGAATGCAATGCGAATAAATTTAAATATGAAATGCTTTGAGCACAGTGACTTCTTTATGTTCTTGTGTTGACAGTTGCGTTATCACAATGCTTCTAGCTGTTGGTCGACGCAACTAGGCAAGCTATTGAATGGCAAAGTCAGAAGGCAAAATGCTGGTGTACTGAAAGTGTCGAGAGATAGAGAGGAAAGAAAAACCGATAGACTTACTATTTCTTAACCTCAGATAAAGAGAGGAAACGAGAGAAAGTATGAAGAAGAGAAAGAAAGAACCAGAATGATAGGAAACATCGTATGAAACGAGATAGTGAAAACGGATCGGTATACCAAAAATGAGTGTGAGAGTAGTTCTTTGCATTTGCCATGCGATCATGTTTACATTTTGCATTTGCCAGGAGACGTCAAAATGCATTCATTGAATTTGTAGCAAAGTATAAAAGAGGCACTTCGAGATTCAAGTCGATCGGAGAATTATGTATTCACTTAAAAAAACTTTTTCTTTTTGTATAAATGCCATTTTTTCGTTTAGAAGAAGAAAAAAAGAAAGATAGAAAATGGAAATAAAAGAAACAACTTCAAAGCGGAATTTTCCGTTGAATTTCGGAAGCTCATTGAAGGAGAAATCTCTCTTGAGATTTTATATTACAATTTATTTTATATGTATTAGAATTTATCATATATCGTTATATCATTTACGGATTTTTCCAGCGTGTTTCGCTTCACAATCAGGAAGAAATAACAAATTGAAACCGTTATTACGTCTCATCTGCTCTTACGTCGTGGCATTTGGTCTCTCGTTTTCATTGTTCCCATTCTAAAGGTGATAACGAACAGTAGACGCTGTGTAACATCTACTTTGCAAGGGGGCGTTGTTGTTTTGCTCGGAGTGTGAATGGAATTTTTGTTATCGATTTATCGAATTTACGTTTCATTGCAGCGTTAAACAAAAACATGACTATTTGATTGACTCGGCGTGTTTTTACTGATAGCAAAAATAGCTAACGTTCACGTCTATACTGACCGACGCAAAACAAACAGCATACACAAATTATGGCAATCGAGCGATAAAGAAATTCCACAGCAAACTCAAACAAACTGAAATTTGTGAAGTTACTTCTATCAAAAACTACACCGAAACGCTATACAGCGAGCATAACAAATCACGCGCAATTACCCAAACACCAACAGCTGCTGATAATGGAGTAAACGGAAATGGAATTGTTTGCGGAAATATTTAAGCTGAAAAAAATTCCATCACACTATTAAAAAATTATATAAACACATTGAAATTCGATTATGCGACCATTTTCACACGTTTGGTAGCGGTTGTGTTTGCGGTTGAAATCCTAAATAAATACACACCAATTTCCCATTCATTGTATCGATTTTATTATAATTGATATTTTATTAACTTTAATTAAAACAAAATTTGACGCTGTAAATTATCAATGTTCACATTTCGATCGCTTCATTTCGAGCAGTTCTTTTTGCGTATATCTATGCGGCTGTGGATTCAATACAATTTTTATTAGCTGCAGTCTTGGAGGCTTGTATTGTTTCCATTACTTCGTGTTTTGTGTTTTTGTTTTCTCTGTTTTTGCCTCATTTTGTTTTAGTTTTGAACATGTTGTTGTCAAAATAAAATCGAATCTATTTTCTTGAATTATCTTCTCCTATATGTGGATTTTAACTTTCACATGACTTTGCTTAGACTCTTATTACTTTAGTTTTATCAATTCAGAAAAAAAAATCGGAAATTTCACAATTTGAATCCAATCCTCAAATATACACATTATTCGAACACAAAACTGGTTTCACATTCAAGGAGAAAATCAAAGTCATCACTATCAAATGCATTCCGTTCCCTCAATAATTTGTCCGTCGATGCTGTTGGTGAAACCTTCGATGTAAGTGTTCAAATATTTGATGTTCGAGCAAAAGATGTTGTTCGTTTGAAAGACGGGTATTAGTGTGCTTTCCACCCATCGTCTATCCCAGACATTGTTCTTCGTGACGATAAGTTCAATGTTCGGAAAATATTTTTTGATGCTTCTCACATCAGCATCGTCCCAGCGCGTGAACTTATTGGCATCCACAAAAAGTTTTTCGAGTTTTGAGAAAGCGGATAATTGTTTTAAGAAATCCGATTGCGATAAATGATTTTGTGAAATACTGAGCGTGTGTAATGGCGATTGAATCGATGTGGATGTTGTTGATTGTGTGGTAATAGACGTGGTGGCAGTGTTTGTGCTTAGTGATTGTATGCCAGTCGCGTCAACGCTCAATGAAATCAGTTCGGGCAGTTTTGATGTGAGATCCATTACATTTAAATCGTGTAAATGATGATTTTCGGACAATTGCAATTGGTGTAGGTGTGTCGTTGTTTCAAAAGCCTTGCCAATATGGTCTAACAAATTTTTCTGTAAATCAATATTTTGCACGCTTGGTGCGCCATTGAAAATTTGATCTGACAATGTTTTCAATTTATTTTCGCTCATTAAAATCTCTTTGATGTGTGGCAAGTCGAATGTTCCGTCTTCAATCGTGCTTATTTCATTGCAGCCAATATCTAGTGAGATGAGATTTTGAGCTGATTTGAACATGTCACGCTTCAAAATGGTCAATTTGTTGTGATACAAAATCAAATACTTCAAGTTGTTGGGACCGACAAATGCTCCACTATCGGCCAACGTGCTGATACGATTGTACTGCAAATTGATCTGATCCAAGCCCGGTGCATTGAGAAATGCATCGATGTCAACCGATGTGATGCGATTTCCACTCAAATTCAGATGCTTCAATTTGCCCGGGATTCGTGTTAATGGCAAACGTTCCAAGCCAATTGTTAGCTCCAAATACTCCAAATTCTCGAATGTATCGATGATTTGTGAAGGGATTTCGGTGAAATTGGCCATTGAATGCAACTTTACTTGGATTATGGATGATGTGTTTGGAACATTTCGAAATGTGACCCGAACTGCCGGCTCAACCATCGGGAACTCGCTCACACAGCAAGCCGACGAATCTGATTCCAGCGATGTTGCACTGCAATCACATTCTATGTTTGTCACCGGATTCATGACCACCACACCAAATTGCAACGCCCAAATGCACACAACTGTTATGGCACTGAAATACAGCATATTTCGTTTATTTCGGTCGATTCAACGAACGACAGCAACAACAGCAGCAACAACACTATTTCAATCTTTGGCTAACAACTTTCTCCACTTTTTTACGACGTCGTCTCATCACACATTATTACACACTATTTAATTCAAGTGTGTGCACTAACTAGCTCTTTGCAAGACTTGTTTGCTATGCATTTTCATCAATGCATCAACTAAACCGATGGAGTAATGTTCATAATTTAATTGGATTGCTTTTTGGTCAACAATCGGATTACGATTCTCACACGACACTTTTGATTTATGTTCAATTTCTTTGTTGATTTTGTCCTTTTTCAGCGGTTCTGAATTGATTATTGTTTATTTTAATACAATTTCCAAATTTTTCTGCCGTTTTTTTTATCTCTTATCACGATTTTCTGTAGAGTTTTTTTCTCTATATTATCTTTCGTTCCTTGTTCAACAATGATTTTTGTTGATTCTGTTTTGATATTTTTTTTCTTTGTAATTTTTCTACCAAACGGTACAATCGGCTAAACTCTTCTGTTCATTCTTATTTTTCTTTTGATTCATGCTGATTCATACTCTTTCTTTTTTACAACTGTGTACACTTTTTTTGGTTCATATGGTTTTCTTCACAGTTGAATATTTGGTATTTTGTTATGTTGAGTTTTTTTTTCTTCACTTTCTTCGTTTATTTGAGTGTTTATCTTGAATTTGTTGAATTTTCTTCTGTATTTTTGCTTGAAAATGGTTCGCTTTTTCCGTTATTATTCTGCACTTAAACCCGTCGTTTTGAATTAAATTTATGATTTTTTTTTCCCGCAACAGATGGTAAAAATCGTAATGCGAACAATTTTTTTCTAGTCTTGCTTCTTTTAGTTGTCGTATTTGATTGTATTTACAAGTATTTGCGTTGAGCCAAGAGATCCGTCAATAGGCACAGTAGAAAGACAACTAAAAGTTCTCACTAAAGATTGAGTAATGGCATGAATGGCGAGCAAAACATACAGTCAAACACACACAAAAATATGATTGCTTCCACTATCTCGTTCGGTGCTGTGTGATAGTGTGATGCGTCGTGATAGTGCGATGCGTCGTGTCGTCATTGTAGTCGCGCGCATTAGAAAAAATTTAATCGCATTCGACATAAAACGACTTCATGCTATTCGCATTAAGACGATTTGTTTGGAATAATAATAAATGGCGCTAGTTGGTTTGTTGTATTCCTTTTGTTCGCCTGCCATTGTCATGCTTCACTTCCAAAAGTGAGATAGTCGTTGTCGTTCGCAACGCTTCTCTCTCTCTCTCACTCTCTTCTTTCACTTCCATTTTTATTCTTTTCCTCTCTTTATGCTCTGCGTTTTAAATCGCATTGTAATTCGTTCATAAATTTCAGATTGCTGATGTTATTATCATTTTGGAGTGGTGTTTTTGTAGCTCGCTTATCGCATCTTAGCATTTTTTTTTTCGTCTCTCACTCGGTCGCTGTTTAAGACTGGAAAAAAATCCACTTTTACATTGGTTCGGTATCAGCTGCACGAGCTGATAGCATAGCACAGACCCGGCCACCGACCTTTTGCATGATTCTGCCACAATTTTTCAATGGACTCCTTCAACAACAACAATCAAATCAGAAATTTCGCTTTCGATCTCTGAAGAGATGAAATTAGAAAAAGTGAAAAAAATAAAAAGAACGAAAAAAATCATAAATTGGACTGGGTCGGTGTTTGAATGGATGCAACGCGAAAATGAACTGCATCAAAATGGATTTAATCAACTTGAACTCGTCACTTTCGTTGATTAACATTTTCGCCTTGATTACTTCAATCATACTCTGTATTTGTGTTGGTTTCTCTCTCTCTCTCTGAATCTCACTCACTTACTCATCCTCTGATTTAATACTTAATCATGTTCTCAAACCAATTTTTTTCGTTTGAGCACCACCTCGACTGAATTTTCAGCAAAAGTGTTTGTCTCGTTCGCAGCAAAAGTGTGGGTCGTCATTTTCGTCAGGGATTTTTTCCGACTGTACAAACAACGATAAAAAAGCCACTTCTCAACAACTGAGATAATATCTTGGTTGAATGCGACTTTCTAATCGTCTTACCGAGAAATAAATAAGAACAAAAGTCAAGCCGAAAATTGGCTCGATGAAAGCAGATTTCCGCAAAAACGGTTCAACTGACAAGAATGTGGGGAGGAAGAAAATCGCATTTTAATTATCACAACGCGTTTTTGGCGCTCGATTTAATCTGTTTGTTGATTGTTGTGCGGCATTCCAGTGGAAAAACTTTGTATGTTACGAGAGTGTTTTTTTGCGTGTTCTTTTGCTGCCAAAACGTACAAATCCCTTGAAAGCGATTGTAATGGTGCAAAGAGACGCTTTTGAATCGAGTCGCTTGAATTGTGCACTCACTGAATAAGTTGAATTTTCGAGTTGAGAAGTGAATGAAAAATTAGAATATGCTCTCGAAATCAAATTCAAAGAAGTAGTTGAAAAAAGGGTGACCTTACATACTGGGAAAATCATACGTGCAACCAAACTGAACTGAAGACAAGCTTCATTGCGTTTAGAAAATTATTGAATGTTGAAAATACGTACACGTTTTCCAAATTAATTAACATGGAGCATACAAAGTGGTAGCAAAAATTCATTAATATTGCATTTCGAATCGATTTTTTGGGATTAAAATTCTTCGTCGCGTTTCGAAAATTTAATGAAACCCATAAAGAATTTTAAAGCAATTGAATGAGCGCAAAAGCCAGAGGGAGGAAAATATAAAGAGAGATAGAGCAACCGAATGAGAATGTGTCTTCACATAATTCAGAGAGGTTGTGCGAATTTTTTGTGCCATCACGTAAGCCGTTGGTTACGTTTTTAAAATTAATATCGAACTGAATTATTGGCAATTCGCGAGTGGATCGTGTGGCAACATATCCGAGCAAGAGCGAGAGCGAGATATTGTGTTTTTATAACGCTGTTCCTATTTTGTCTTGAACGTGTGAGTGTGTGAGTGTATGTATCGATTTGGGCTGGAGTGAATGAGAGAAAAACCACCGTTTAATATTGAAACACATTACTCAACGGGGTTTAATGCTGAGTTTCAGCTACTAAAGACAAAAGTACAGCTCCCACACTATTTATACTATAACATTCAATGGGTTACGAGTGTGGTTTTGTTTCGCACGCTCACTATTCGCACGCCGTGAGCCAGAAAACGCAAAGCATATTGTGAAACGTAATTTATGATTATTATACATTTCCGCTATTTATTATCGTCAATAGAAAGAAAGAAAGAAAAAAAACACACAACCAAAAGCATAATTTAATTTATAAGATCCGCCTTGTCTCTAGTGCAACAACAATGTGCGCTCGCCCTCATTCACTCTAAAACTAAATAAACATTCGATTATGTTAAATAAGGCAAAATTATTTTCAAGGAGCACACAATGAGTTTCGAGGGAATTCTGGCGTTAAGGGAGCTAGGGAGCAAAATGGGTTACAACGAATGAACAAAAAAGAGCCGAGCCAATGAAACCAAGCGACAGAGAGAGAGAGAGAGAGAGAGAGAGAAAGAGAGAGAGAGAGAGAGAGAGAGAATTGAAACAAAAGAAGCTCAAGAAAACATTGGAGTGAGAGAAAAGGGAGTGAGAGAAAGTAGGAGAGAAAAAACATCACAAAAAGCGTCACCGCGCCAATGCTTGAAAGCCAATCGAGTGTTCGAAATTGTTTTTCATTGCAACAGAAAATGCCATTTTAAAATGCATTTTAAGCTAATCGAACTTTCGGTACATTTGCCATGCGAGTGCAGTGTACATCGATCACTTCATGCTTTTCACTTTATTTTATTCTTTTTTTATTCTGGAATAAACGTCGATTTGCATACTACTTGCACGCTTGCAACGAATTCATTTGCAAAATGTAAACATGCCAAAGTAAGTTTAAGGCAAGTCGAAACATTCTCGTTATTTGCTAATGGAACGATATACACACTCACACAAAAAATGCATAAATATCAAGCAGTCAAGTGAAAAACAGAAAAAATGTCTCGTCGAAGGGCTGGCAAACAATGTCTTCGCTGGCTTAACAAGCGACACACTGAGCGGAAAAAAATTAATTTCACTTCATCATGACACTGACTGATTGTTATGCGCTTCGAATCCGTAGCTATGCCGATAACCCATCCGGAAATAGATCGTTTACTTATGCCGCACACACATTTTATTCGTATGCACCCCGAACGATATGTACAAAAAATCGACCATTAATCGAAAATATTTCGCGTGTCGAAGATATGCATTCGAGAATGTACGCTGCAATGCGCTCTCGCTCTCATTCTCTTTTGTCTCTGTCTTTTGTAATGGAACGAATCCACCGGATAAATTTAAAAATATAAATTTCTCATTTTATTATTTATTTTTCGCTCGCTCGCTTGTCGCATGTGGCGTGCACATTATGAAGCGTCGCATACACACACTTGAAATTCCTCAGTGATGGAATGCAAACGGGATAGACCAAGAGCAAAGAACAAACACCAAGACATTTTCTACACCGCCTGTAAATAACAAACATTCGTATGCATTTTATGCACATTCCAGACTGATGTCCCAAGACGAACCATCTTATATGGGCTTTATTTACCATTTTACTTTTTACAGGTGACTTTGCCCACGTGTAAATATTGCATCTGACACATGATCGAAATGTGAATAAAAAAATTGATATTTCTAATGGTACGGAAGGTTTTTATGACGAAATTGGATGTTTCAAATAACTCTTTTTTCGGGATTTTGACTTGAATTTTCAGAGAAAATTAGTACTGTTGAGTATAGTTTATCATTTTTTTAATTTGATGTTTTTCTCAGAAAATTCACACTATAGATTCCAATTCTTTTCCAAAAAATAAATTCCAATAAATTCTTTTTTGTCAAATTAAATTATAAAATATTTACGATAAATCATCGACGAAAATTGTTCTCCATTGAAAAAAGTTGGAGATTTATTATTAATTTTAAAATGTTTAATTCTCTTTTAATTCAGAAAATGTATACATTAGGGCGGGCCGATTTTTTTTTCTCGACCAAATACCTATAATTTCCGTGTTATTTCCGGGTTATTTCAAGAAAATTTGCCCGAGGAACCATACCTCTATCTTTAAAATCGAGTCTGCTAGTTTTTGCGTGTAGTTATTTTTGCGCACTTATGAAGTATCACCTTCACGTTCACATCCATAATTCGAAAACTATTGATCGGATCAAATCGATTGGAAAGGTGAGCTCATTCCGATCAATTTACATATAAAAATCATCGACATTGGTCGTACGGTTCAAAAGTTATGAGCATGTTTCTGAAATCTTTTGAACGATTTCTTTCACTTTTTGCCATTTTTTCTTTCAAAAATATTTTTTGTCCGATTTGGATAAAATTTGGTACACAGAAAGCTTATGAAAATATAAGAATTATGGCATAAAAACTGGACGAAAAAACTGGTATAAACTGGTATAAAACTGAAATTTCACCTTTCCAACGCGCGTCTAATCGATTTGATCCGATCAATAGTTTTCGAATTATGGATGTGAACGTGAACGTGATACTTCATAAGTGCGCAAAAATAACTACACGCAAAAACTAGCAGACTCGATTTTAAAGATAGAGGTATGGTTCCTCGGGCAAATTTTCTTGAAATAACCCATAGAACACGGAAATCATAGGTATTTGATCGACTTTTTTCGCTCCCCACAAATCGGCCCGCCCTAGTATACATGTATGTATTTCGTACAAATCATGATTACTGTTTTTTCACATAATTGTGTAAAAATTGATTTAGTTCAATAAAGTCAATTTTCTTCTAAATTTCACACTTAATTTTCTATTTTCTCCCCATTTTTCTATTCGTCGATGAATGCTCCAAAAGGATTGTGCTAAGATATGCATCAATTTTAATCGTAT